TATAATGATAAAATATATAATAATTAATAATAAAATAATACAGATATGAATAAATATGATAATAAAATATATAAATATATAAATTAATAAGTATAAAAATAAACAGAGGTAACAATAGGTATTAAAGATAGATGCCAACTATTTTATATGAAATTGCAACCAGAAATAATATTTATAACTCTAATTATTATTGAGTCTTTCAATACCTAATAAAAATTTTGACTTTACTTAGACGTGAATAAAAATAACCAAAATTTAATAAAATTTTTAAAAAATAAAAAAAAATTGAAAATAATTATATCAATTATTTAGATATATAAAAAACTCTTCCCATCAATCACTTGTATCAAATATTCTCACAGTAGAGAAATACAATTTTTCACTGTAATTACATATAAGACTTGATTATTTTTCTACCTTTTTTACTTGTATAGGTAAGAAAAAATATAAATACAATACCAGAAGTATTTCTGGTCAACAAGATGATAACAACCAAGAAAATAAGAAAAATATAAATTTTATTCTTATGGCTAGCAACATACAAAATGAAAATAATACAACTATGAATATAGAAGAAGAAATAAAGGTATTTTTGGTACCAGTGTATGCAAGTAAAAAAAAAGGCTGTTAGAGAGTCATTTGAGGAAGAAACAGAAATAAATATTAGTAATGTTGTTAAATTGAGGTCAAGAGTTTCATTTATGGCAGAACTAAAATACAAAGAAATTTCAGATGGAGAAGAGGATGATGACTTATATATTGAGGAAGAATTTGAAACAGTAAAAAGTAAAAAAAATAAAATGATAACGTTAAAAAAGGTGTTTGTGAAAAAACCTAAAAATATCTCTTCTAAAATCTGGCATAAAGAAACTGGTATAAGTTTCTGTTGAAGTATTAAAAATTAAAGGAAAATCACCTTTTGCAAAAATTCTCATGGTTAAAAATCTCCTTTTTCAAAATCAAATTGAAGTGATTCTTGGAAAAATTAAAACAACTAATAAAATTAAAAATATAGTAATATATCTTTTAAATAAAGAAGAAGTACAAAAAGCAAAAAAAGTAAATTTAGAAAATACTAAAAATCATATTTATATGCAAGATGTGGTGAAACAGTTACCTAATGAATATGATAAATTGTACAAATGGAAAATTTGGGATATTCTTCTATATGTAAAGAGAAATGATTTGATGTTATATCTTAATCATTTTGGGAAAGTGAAACAATTACATTTAATAACAAAAGACATGTGACAATTAGGTCATATGGAATTTGAAAACATGAAAGTTGCAAAAAAATTATCAACAGAATAGTCAATTTGGATCAGAATGGATTGTTTAAGAATTACATCAGGTAATACTAGTTACAAAGAATTAAATAATAGAGATAAATAGGCAGCAAAGTTAACCTAGTTACCTAGAGGAATAACAGTATTGGATATTAAACAAATTGTTAAAGATATCAAAGGTCGTACAATTTATATTCCAAGAACTAGAGAAGGATATAAAAGGAAAAATTATGTGATTATTTTGTTTGATTCAGAAGAAGAAATGCAGAAACACCAGTACAGTATAATGAAATTAACGGAGGAAATCACAATTATAATGGTTTCTATGATGACACCTCTTTATTTCATTTATAATTCAGATTTACATAAAGCAAAAGAATGTAATGTAAATAAATATCATAAACAGTTAGTTTTTAATAAGAAAGAAAAAATCAAACAATTTGGTAATTTGTATAAAAAATATAAACCAAATTATTATTCCAATCTAATAAAAACTACTCCAAACCAAAATACTTACGCAGATATAGTTAAGAAGAAAGCTAATAATGTTGAAAAGAATATTAATAAGTATAAAATTGAAGAACAACACGAAAAATTTGATGAATTTAATCAAAATATAATAAAAACAATGGATTTTTATACTGCACAAATTGAAGAGTTGCGTGGGGGAATGGAAGAAGTAGCTAAAGTTCTGACAGATATAGCAAAAAGACTTTTTGCCATTGAAAATCGTCTTGATGAATATGATCAAGTATTGAAAGAAAATAATAATAAAGATAAAAAAGGAAAAGAAATAGAAACAAGAGAAGAAACAAACAATCCAAATGTATTAAAAACATTAGACAATATGTCTAAGGGATTAGCTAATCTGGCTAATACTGTAAAAAGGTTAGGAACTAGAGTCCATGGTATAAGTGGACGTTTGGACCGTATACAGTCTGGAAACCAAGACTGACATTATCCAAAAACTAATTGAAGAGGTGCATAAGGTTTCATGTAATTTTTTACTCTAAAAATTAGTTTTAATATTAGTGGATACAGATATTTATCTACTATTAATTTTCTATTAAAATTTTTTCTGTACAGATGTTAGTGTACAGTTCTCTAATCTATAGCTCCTCAATGGGTTAGTATTCCTTTCCAGCAACTTTTTGCTCAGATTGGTTAAAAAGAGATGGGTGGGGGCATGACCATTAGTTGTTTTAGGTAACACTAGGGCAACGATGAGTCAAGCCGTTATGTTATTAATTTAACCATAGCCAGTTGTATTAAATATATTTGTAGTTTTTATAAATTTGTTTAATTTTTATCAACTGCAAAATAAATTGTTTAATAAAGCATGACTCCGTTGGAATTAAAAAAAAATAATAATAATTCAATCATATAAATTAAATACAATAATAACATAATGACGATTCTTAACTAAACAATTAATTCACCACTTAACGACAACAACAATATAAAAACATCATTTGACAATTCTAAAAATACGCAACATACCATAAAATAATTTTCATATACTAAATTATCACCATCATACTAACTTTTAAATAACATGAAATTATGATAACAAAAACAATTATCAAGATTAGCAATATATATAACATAACATGTATAAAAATAAAGATAATAGACAATTCTTAACTAACCAATAACAACATGAAAACATCATTTGACAACTCTCAAAATAATTTTCACACATTAAATTATTACCAACTTTTAACTATTAAATAATACAAAATCGTGATAACAAAAATGATTACTAAACTTAATAATAAATATAACACAACATATATAAAAGTAAAAATAATAATACAATTACCCAAACCAAATACAACAATAATAACATAACAACAAATTTAATTACTACTAACTCAATGACACAATAATAAAATAAAAATATCATTTAATGATTTCAAATAAAACCTTAGTCAAAAACAAAAAACATTATTTAACAACCTAACTAAACCAATGGCCAAAAGTTTACAATATTAATAAAACTACAAAAACAAAACAAAACAACATAACAAAATACAGAAAAAAATAAAAAGTACATATAAATAAGATCAATCTCAACCACATATACAATTGAATAACTAATACCAAAACAAATATGTAAATTATTATATAAAATAATAAAAAAAATATTAACATATTTCACATAAACATTTAAACCTATAAATAAATAAAACAAATACTGACAAAAAAATAAAAAAAAATAAACTCCTTGACAAAACCACGGACAAAAAGCTAGTTATTCTCTATAAAGTCACAGATTATATGAATTTTAAAATTGGCCAATAATAATATAATTTCACAGATCGTGATTTTATTATAAATGCCAATTTTAGGTTTCTTTATTAATAGTTTTAATAGATGTAATTAATATATATACATAATAAAATGACTATGTATATTATTGTTTAATAAATGAAATTAATGTATGTACATATGTAAGACTGCCATTATTGTTATTTATTTTTATCTTGTGAATAATTTTTTTTTATAAAGAAAAAAAAGAATTTAGAGAGTGAAAGATTTATCAACACGATTAAAAAAAGATATAAGTGAAAATTGCTTCTTATTTTTTTTCCTTTCATAATGCCATTCTTTGAGTCTTTTTCATAACATTTTTAATTCATTCTCATCAAATCCTTTTCCAACTTCAAGATTTCCTTGATAACTTATGACTTTTTCTAATGCATCAACAGTCTCTATAACAGTTATTGGAGGTAGTGGTGATCCCTCGTCATTACAATTTTATCATTATCACGAAACTCATTAATTACCATTTTGATGATAACATTGTCTGTTAATACATCCTCCGTTGTAGCTAGTTGATCGATCATATTTATATGTTCTTCAATATTATGTATTAATTGTTGAGCCTCTGGATTAGTCTCAACTGAAAGATTATTAATTAGCATCGCAGTATCAACAATCTTATTTTCTGACTCACTTTCTTCTTGTTCACTTATTTCTGGTTCATCTATTTTGAACATAATTCTAGTTGTTCTCTGGCAATTCTTTATAGTGATGTCACTAATATCTTCCCAAGCTTTGGCAATAAAATCAGTAGTTTTCTCACATTAAGTTTTCTATATTTTATAAATGATTAGATAGAATAAAATAATATATACATAAATATAAAAAAAACTTTTACCTTTGATCTTTATTTCTCTCAAATTGTATAAGCAAATGATAACAATACAACTTTTTGTATTTTGATTTGAAGCTAAGAATAATACTGGCATCCATGGGCTGAATATGAGCAGTCATATTTGATAAAAGAAAATGTATACTAACATTTGTAAGGCCTGGAGTTTGTCTTAATTGGTTGGAATGGGTAATATTAGATCTTCTTTGGGATCTTCTCTGTGATTTTACTTGTGGCTTTCCTTGCAGTCTTCCTCATAGCCTTTCTCACAATTTTCTCGTGGTCTTCCTCATGATTTTTCTTAAAATTCTTCAATTTCGCCAATAGAATCATTCTCAGATTCAGATGATGGTTCATCTGTATCATTATCTTGGACTTCACTTGAATTTCCTGGGGTTATATATATGAGAAGCTGAATTATCGACAAGAAGTAAGACCTGTCTACCTTGGATACAAAAACTATCATCAATATAACATAACTATTGTTCCCAAATATCACTTCTCATCCATACTTTTTTATTGTTTTTATACATAATAATAATTGTGAAGTATTTTTCTCATTAAAGCACCCTGACTTTTTAGAGGTACCAATAACCAGTGGAAGAAACTTGTGAGAACCAGTTGAATTGGAGCAAAGTAAGATGGCTACTCTTACTTTTTCTTAAAGAAACTATTATTATTATTTAAATTAACTATTTTAAATTAATCATTTTTTTTTAGCTTGCCTTCTTTTTTCCAGCCATCAGTTTTTTAGAAAGTGTTTGATTGGGAAGTAATCAGTAGAATAAACCTGTTTCATCAGCATTATACATATCTTCTGAGTTATAATGGGAGAGAAGTTCTTGCAATTTTTTCCATTCTTTAGGCAAGTTTTCTAAAGGTGCGCTTGCTGCTTCACTGTGCATTGTAATTTTTCTTATTTCATTATGTTTCTTAAATTTAGTAACCCACCCATTTGAAAATGTAAGTGATCCTTCGGGTAGCAAATGCTTGTGCAAATTGACAGGCTTTTTCCTTTACTAAAGAATCTGAAATAATTATTTCTTTGGTCGTGACCTGCTCTATTCACTAATTCATGGCAAGTTCTAACATTGGATACTTCACAGGACAATGATGAAAAGTTGTTTCAGCAACATCATCTTGAAATTGGTATTCATCGGCTCTCTTTAATATTTTTGACACAGTCGAACAATCAATCTTCAGGCTTGGATAATGCTCCATAAACTCTTCGCCCACAGCTGGTTTCGGTTTAAATCGTGTGATGATTATACTGATAAATTGAAATTTTACAATCTAAATTTTTACATGTAATTAGTTTCAATTAACGGTAATATTTTTAAACAATTTAATTATGGAATATGTAAATATAAAGCCATAAAAAATCTATACTATGTTATCACTATTTTTAATAAAATCCGTTATAAAATTAAAATATAAAAAATCATATGGGAGGATTTATGCGAAATCTAGAAAAATCTAAAAAGGAAATTTTGCTAACAATTTCCTTTTTTAGATATTATAAATCAATAAGTCTTTATAATATAATTGCTAGTAATAAACATAATTAATTTTAGATTCAATCAAGTGTTTAAGTTTAATTCAAGTAATATTACGAAATGGTAATCAATATAAGGTGAAATTTCTTTATGCCTCAGGAAAATTTTAATAGGCGAAAATATGCGCAAATTTAAGAAACCTTCGAAATTCTGCGCAAAAAAATTTCGCAAATCTTCACACAAATTATCGCTAATTTTTTTCAGTATAATCGCAAAAATAATTTGCGGAGTGAAAATTTTATGCGTAAATCTTCCGGAAATTTTCACTTTGAAAATTTGCAAAATTTTAACCTCTTAAAATTTTCTAATGATATAATTATTCCCGTCTTTCAAAAGAGAATTATTTAATACTAAGTAAAGAAGTTAAAGTGTTGATATTAAAAGGAAATGTACTAGTTATGTCTTCTTAATAATTGTCTTCTATTTTATTTTTATAAAAAACAATTCGGGATTTTGTAATTTAAAATAAAAATGATGACATTTTTGAATATTAGGTAATTTTTTTAAATTTTTGAAAGTAATTTTTGAAATTATATTATTGAAACCCTTTCCATCCAAATAACGATGAGCAATATTAAGATGAACATTTGTAGAATGATAAAGTATTTTGATTAAACCAAGAAAGCTATCACAGATAAATTTTGTCATCAATGAGGGCCATTGGACTAAAAATTTAGTCTTTAGATAGCTACAATAAATATCGTTGGCACTATAAAAAAAATAATAATTTTGAGGTCCTAATAGCGCACCTTTTCTTATATTAAGTATAGTCCTATCTGAATTTTGGAAAATTTTTTCTCGGCATTCTTGGTGGTTAAAATTCATTGTGAAAGGATAAAATTTCTTTTACGCATTTTTTATTGAATTTAAAATAAAATATAAAATCTTGTGATTTTAAATATATTTAAAAATCCTGATCATTTGAAATTAGAATATCACATTGAGGCGGCACGAAAATAGCCGGGTCACGGGGGATGATAGGTGTCACTATTTGGATGAATTATCCTTGTGTGTCATCCATCATCCTGGCACAAAACGTTTTTTTTGGATGACAGAGGATGAAGGTAAACAAGAAGTATTATAAAAATAGCTGCGGTGGGGAAGAAAAGAAAAGAAATTCCTTTTGCCAAAAAGAACAAGAACCAAAATAAAAATATTTTACTTGATATTTCGAACAATTTTAATTTTAGTTTTATTTTTAC